AAAAAATAATAAATAAAAAGCAAATTTTTAGGGGGAAGGGGCAGACGGAGAGGATCTTTTTCTTTTTAAGATTTTATTTATTTTAGAGAGAGTGAGCGAGTGGGGGGAGGGGCAGAGGGAGAAGGAGAGAGAGAGAATCTCCAGCAGACTCCTTGCTGAGCGCAGAGCCCAACATGGGGCTTGATCTCACTACCCGTGAGATCATGACTCATGAGATCATCTGACCCAAAACCAAGAGTCAGAGGCTTAACCGACTGAGCCACCCAGGCACCCCAGATGGAGAGAGAGAATCTTAAGTAGGCTCCACGCCCAACACAGAGCCTGAGATCGTGACCCGAGCTGAAATCAAGAGTCGGATGCTTAACTGACTGAGCCACCCAGGCACCCTTAAAATAGCAAAATTTTTTTTAAGATTTTATTTATTTATTTGACAGAGAGAGACACAGCGAGAGAGGGAACACAAGCTGGGGGAGTAGGAGAGGGAGAAGCAGGCTTCCCGTGGAGCAGGGAGCCTGATGCGGGGCTCGATCCCAGCATCCTGGGATCATGACCTGAGCCAAAGGCAGACGCTTAACGACTGAGCCACCCAGGCGCCCCAAAATAGCAAATTTTAAGTGAAAGCGGAATGATCCAGAGATTAAGGGGAAGGTGGGGGCTAAAGCTGTGGGTTCGGGAGTCATCTGTATGAATGCCTGAACTTGAACAATGCAGGGACCAAAGTGTAAAGGGAGATCTAAGAATGGAGCCTTAAGATACACCCACCCTTGAAGTCAAGAAAATGAAGATGGGGTGAATAGTCAAGAGTACAAGAGAGTTCAGCATCATAAAAACAATAGAAAAAGTTTTACAAAAGATGGGAGGCACACTGTCATATTCCCAAACTTGGATTGCCCTTACCCCATTCAGTTCCTACAAGCCAGGTCCTGCCCATTCTTCCCCTCTCCCCAGTGAGCATCATCCGTCTGCTCCTTTGCTTCCTGTGCTGGGGGCCCCAGGGTCTGTCTGATTCTTCCTCCATCACTGTCGCCACAGGCGGCGGTGCCGAGAGCCGACCAGTCCTTCGCTACAGCAAGGAGCAGAGGCCAACCACGCTGCCCATCCAGCCCTTCGTGTTCCAGCACCACTTCCCGAAGCAGTTGGCCAAGGCCCGCGCCCTCCACAGCCTTTCCCAGCTCTACAGCCTCTCTGGCTGCAGCCGTGCACAGCAGCCTGCCCCTCTGGCTGCCCCCACTGCTCCAGTCCCAGCCTTAGCTCCCTCAGGGGAGTCACAGGCACCCACCAACAGAGGGGCCAGGAAAGCTGGGCCTGAGCCAGAAACCTCACGGCCGTCACCCCTGGGTAGCTACTCCCCGATCCGCAGTGCTGGCCCCTTTGGGCCCAGCACCGACTCCTCTGCTTCCACGTCGTGCTCCCCTCCTCCAGAGCAGGCCACAGCCACAGAAAGCCCACCCCCATGGAGCCACTCCTGTCCTCCCGTTGCCCGGCCTGCCACCTTCCAGCAGCCACAGAAGGGGGATCAGAAGATACTGACCTTGGCTGAGTACCGTCTCCATGGAACAGGAAGCTTGCCTCCTCTGGGCTCCTGGAGATCTAGCCTCAGTCGAGCAGAAAGTCTAGCCCGGGGAGGTGGTGAGGGCAGCATGGCCTCCAGGCCCAGTAACGGTATGAGCTTTACCCTCCACCGCAAGTATTTCTACCCGACCCCCCCCCACCCCGCCTTTGGATGCTTTCTTATACTCCAACCTGGGGTAAGGGGTTAAATGTTTACATCTCCTTCCCCAGCACCTACGGATAATATCCAAGCACTCCCAGCCCTCATATTGTATATGACCGCACTGGGTGGATGTGAAATGCTGTCTCCTGCTAACTCTTGCCCGTCTCTTCTGCTCATCTGTTCTGCTTTCAGCCAACCACCTATCCCCTCAAGCACTCAAGTGGCGGGAATACAGGAGGAAGAACCCACTAGGGCCACCTGGATTGTCAGGGAGCCTAGACCGAAGGCCACAGGAAGCTCGGCTGGCCCGAAGGAACCCCATCTTTGAGTTCCCTGGCTCCTTCAGTGCTGCTGGCCATCTGAACTGCCGGCCGAATGGTGTGTGGGCCGGGTGCCCAGTGGACCCAGGGCAGGCTCTACCGCAGCTGGGCAGGGCTGGAGAAGGGGCAGGCCCACAGGAACGAGTCCCAGAGGGTATGAGGCACAGAACTGAGCTGCAGCTCTTGGAAGGAGAGTTGCTTGAGATTGATTTTTCTCTTCTTTCCAGGTCAAATAGTGAAGCCATTACCACTGACCTGCCCTGACTTCCAAGACCCCTTTTCCTTGACTGAGAAGCCTCCAGCTGAGTTTTGTCTGTCCCCAGATGGCAACTCAGAGGCCATTTCCATTGACCTGCTTCAGAAAAAAGGTGAATGTTACCCCCAGCTCAGGCCAGGAATTCTGTTGTCGGTACCTATTTGTGCCTGTTGCCCTACTGTCTAGCCCTCCTAGAACTCCAAGTGCTAGGAAGGAATCAGCACAGGAATTGGGGCACGAGGTAGCAGTCCGTGCATCGTGTAGGACAAGTGTGCCTGAATGCACAAGGATCATTTATCAGATGCTTAAGAATCAGGCTTCGGTCTCTTACCTCAGGGAGCTAAGTAGAGTGAGGGAGACTGCCATGCCATAAATAAATGGCCGTGTGCTCTAATGGGGGGACTCCCAAGTACAACAGGGCCTAACAGCTTGGGTAAGCATGATGGTAACATCTACTAAGATGTTGAGCAAATAAGGGACCACTGGACCAAGAGAGAGCTGTTTCAGTGAGATGATGGGGAAAGAGTTGAGCATCATTGTGGGCTGAAGGGAAGGAGCTGTGGGGAGGGAGAAAGATGAAGCTGAAGTTCCCTGTAGAGGCAGAGTGGGGGGTTCAAAGCTGGGAAAAGGGAAGAACCTTGAGCAAGATGGAAAGAGAGTGAGGGGGGCGGGAAGGAGGGTAGACAGAATGTAGTTATGTCTTTTGGATGGACAGGGAAGTTGAATTGATGACCAGTGGCCTCGGTTCGAGGTCGAACCAAGGGCTTGAGAAGAGGGGTAAAGATTTGGCAATGTGAGAGCATAGCAGAGGACACTGCAAGGCACACGTCAAAGAGGTGCCCTTGTCGGTCACTGTTGTGAGTGGCCCTGGACTTTGTCCAGCAGCCAGTAGCCTGGTTTCTCAGAGCGGAGAAGATGGATAGTTAGCTCGATCCAGGACTGGAGTAAGAGGGTCTTGAAGATAAAATCGCTGAGATGCGTCCACTGGCGGTGACAACAGGGCTTGAGGACTGGGCAAAAACAGGGAGGGGTCAGGGCCTGGTCCTCAGTAAGACTGACACCCATGTGCAGGGACAGAGAGAGAGCGTGGACGCCCCTCCCTCTCTCCACTGAGGGCTCAGTTTCAGCTGAGTTGCCCAGGGACTTGCTAAGGAACCCATCACATGGAATTCTTACTTGCAGGGCTGGTGAAGGCAGTTAACACTGCCGTGGACCTCATTGTGGCCCATTTTGGCACAAGCCGGGATCCTGGGGTGAAGGTAGGCAAAAAACTGGGGCGAGCTGAACTCTGCCCTGCTAACCCTCACCCATTCTATGCTGCCGCCTTCTCCTGCTCTCTTGCACCTAGAACCCAGAATTGGGTACTTCGGGATGGGGATCACAAGAGAAGCATGCTGAGGCCTAAGAGAGTCAGAGAAGACCAAGGTCGGGCTTCCAGTGATTCCCTGTTCTTCTCTACTGCATCCACAGGCAAAGCTCGGGAATAGTTCTGTGAGCCCCAATGTGGGCCACCTGGTTCTGAAGTACTTGTGCCCCGCAGTCCAGGCTGTGCTGGAGGATGGGCTCAAGGCCTTCGTGCTAGATGTCATCATTGGGCAACGTAAGAACATGCCGTGGAGTGTGGTTGAGGCTTCTACACAGCTAGGTAAGTGCTGGGCGACAAGATGAGGACCCCAGGCTGAGATTCGGATTCGGGAGACTGGGCATGTGACTGCTGACTCTGGCTTCCTCTCAGGCCCGTCCACCAAGGTCCTGCACGGCCTCTACAACAAGGTCAGCCAATTCCCGGAGCTCACCAGTCACACCATGCGTTTCAACGCCTTCATTCTCGGCCTGCTCAAGTGAGTGTGTGGGGCAACAAGAGCGGCAAATCACAGCCCTCTCCCCTGGGCTCTGCCACTTCTGTGGAACCAACTCCCTAGACTGAGACAGGCCAAGGGGGATCTGCAGGCTCTATGGCCAGGGCCCAGGCTCACTTTCTCCCCATCTAGCTACAGCGTCTCTCAGTAGGTCTCTGGTTTCCCACCACACCCACAACCTCTGGCACTGATCACCAACACGGTCTTTGGCTTTTATAAATCCATAATCTGGCCTATTTGGAAATTAATCTGGTTCTCTGGATATTGTAAACCTTGATCCCCTCAATTCCAGCACTACTTCCAAATCCTGCCTGACCATAAGTCCCCCTTGAGATCCACATCATAGTATCCTTCTTTCTCAAGTTATGGGCCTGGGTCATCCCCTTTGGGATGTGTACCCTGTACTCTCACTCAGTAGCTGCCATGACTTCAGGGGCCTAGGCAAGCCAACTCCATTCTAGAGGGAAGTCACTGGCTTGTGAATTACATGTTAACCCCCTCCCATCATCCCCCACTGACTTTCCAGAACTATTTTACGTGAAATGAACCAGGTAGCATTCCTGCCATAGAAGGGAGATATTCACCTATACCTCTGCCCTATGTCTGACCCCCTGTCTGTCTCCTTTGTACTTTATCATCTGGCTATCTCCACACAAGATTCAACTCTCTCTGTTTCCCTACAGCATCCGGTCCCTGGAGTTCTGGTTTAATCACCTCTATAACCACGAAGGTAATGCCCGGAACACTGCAAAGAGAGCTTGCAAACTCAATATAGGCCAGACCTCAGAGGCTCAGAAGAGGGAGGCACGGCTCTTTACAGATGGTAGAGGTGGGGAGGGGGACCACCCAAGCTTTCGTCTTCAGAGCCTGGGCTTCCAGCCCAGTCTGTCCCCAGCTTCTACTTGTGTTAGAGCCTTGGAGTCAGCAGGATACCCGGGCAGTCTGGAAGCGAGGGTGACCAGGAACCCCCACAGCTCTCCTGTGAACTTGCGGCCGCCACTTACGGCCGCGGAGGTCACGACCTGCACAAGCGTCCGGCGGCCTCTTTGGCCCTGGCGTGCACCCAAGGGCACAGTGCCCAGCCCATGCGGTGTACGCAGCGGCTCTGCCGGGGCCGCTTCTCGGAGGGCCCTGCCCCCAGGCCAGGCTCTGCTTCTCTGTGGGCCTCAGGCCCTCCCTCTTGCTCCCCCAGATATCATCCAGACCCACTACCAGCCGTGGGGCTTCCTGAGTGCAGCGCATACCGTGTGCCCCGGCCTCTTCGAGGAGCTGCTGCTGCTGCTGCAGCCCCTGGCCCTGCTGCCCTTCAGCCTCGACTTGCTGTTCCAGCACCGGCTCCTGCAAAGCGGGCAGCAGCAGCGGCAGCACAAGGAACTGCTGCGGGTGTCCCAGGACCTGCTGCTGTCCGCCCACTCGACGCTGCAGCTGGCCCGGGCCAGGGGCCGGGAGGGGCCCGGAGACATGGACAGGGCGGTCCAGGGGGAGCGGGTGAAGGGTGTGGGCGCCCCCGAAGGCGGAGAAGACGAGGAGGAAGAGGAGACAGAAGAGGTGGCAGAGGCAGCGGGGGGCTCAGGACGTGGCAGGTGGGCCCGAGGCGGGCAGGCTGGCTGGTGGTACCAGCTCATGCAGAGCTCCCAGGTCTATATCGACGGCTCAGCTGAGGGCTCTAGGTTCCCCCGTGGTGGCAGCAATAGCAGCAGTGAGAAAAAGAAAGGGGCAGGAGGCGGGGGACCACCCCCCCGAGAGGGAGTAGTCGAGGGGGCAGAGGCCTGTCCTGCCCCTGAGGAGACCCTTGGCCGGGACAGGGGCTGGCCCTTCTGGATGGGGAGCCCCCCTGATTCTGTACTGGCTGAGCTGAGGCGCAGCCGGGAGAGGGAGGGGTCCACTGCCCCCCCAGCAGAAAATGAGGAAGGAGCCTCAGAGCCTTCACCCGGGGGCATCAAGTGGGGACACCTCTTTGGCTCCCGAAAGGCTCAGCGGGAGACCCGGCCCACAAACAGGTGAGAGGCAGCCCATGGTGTAGACACGGGGATTTGGGGAGCCTATCTAAGCCAGAGCACAGACAGAGCCGGAGCCCCGGCTGCTCTCCCCTAGGCTACCGTCCGACTGGCTGAGCCTGGACAAGTCCATGTTCCAACTAGTGGCACAGACGGTGGGTGCCCGCCGAGAGCCAGAGCCCAAGGAGAGCCTGCAGGAGCCACACTCTCCAGTCTTGCCCTCCAAGCCTCCATGGTAAGCCCTGGAAGATAGCACTGGGGGGCTGGGTTTGGCTTTGGGTGGGGTTTCTCTGACCTCCATTTGTTGTTTCCCCAGCGAGGTGAAGGCACTGTGTCATCATCTGGCCACAGGCCCCGGACAGCTGAGCTTCCGCAAGGGCGATATCCTACGGGTGCTGGGGCCAGCTGGAGGAGACTGGCTGCGCTGCAGCCGTGGCCCTGACACCGGCCTGGTGCCTCTGGCCTATGTGACCTTGACCCCATCTCCAAGTCCAACCCCCGGAAGCAGCCAAAACTGAGGCCCTGTGCATGCTGGTGGCCTCAGGGACCCTCATAACCCCTGTGTCAGAGCCTGAGAGCCCTTCCCAAGCCCTCTGGCTTGGCCACAGAGAATAGACTGAGAGCTGGGGGCCATACATCCCTGTGCTCAGTATTAATTACTCCCCATTAACTGTCCCAGTGACCTCATCCAGACCTCCACCCAGGAAAGGAGGGAAGGGATGCAGCACTGGGCTGCCAGGATTTCCCCGGCCCACGTGGGCCAGCCCTTCCATAGGTACAGATAAGCACATCCCTATGGAGGGAGGTGATCAGAGGCCCATTTGCAGGGTTCCCTAGGCCAGGTGGTGAGGAGGAGAGGTGACAGTATTGGGGCCAGCTCCCTAAGCCCCCAAATGTAAATAGGCTGTGGCCAGTGCCTGGTGGTCAGAAGAGGGATGAGGAGCCCAGGCTTGTTTATGTATTTATTTATTTATTTATTACACCTATTAATAAAAAAGGTGCTCGGCCTCCAAACCATTTCTCTTTGTGCCTCCCCCCACCCCCCTCGGGCCCACCTCTCTTCCTTCCAAAAGGCTGAGAATGGAAGACAGAGAAGAGAGAACTTGAAGTCCAGGTACCTATCTATACCAGGAGCTGCTTCTGGAGGGTGGTGAGGCCCAGTGCATCATGGGTGAGATGCCCATAGGTGTGCCCGAACTGGAACTTATATCCTGTATGGACAACAGAATCTGTCACTTGTAGCCAGTGGCAAGGAGAGCCATTTATTTCTCAGCCAGTGCCTAAGCCCTCCAAAATCTGGTCCCAACTTCCCACTGTGAGCTACCTCCATATCCTTTTCTGCCCAGTGAGAAAGCCAAACCACATGATCCAAGGCCCCCCCCTCCCCCAGCCACTTCCACCCATTCCACACACACACACACACACAAATATTCCAGTCCCCTCTGGGGCTATCCTCACCTGGCACATAGCCCCCATAATTAGGTAAAAGGCACAGGTTCTGAGGATAGGTCCTAGAAAGTGGAGGGAGATGTTTGGGATCCTTCTGGGGTCTGCTCCCTGAGTACATCTGTCCAAATTCCTGCAGTGCCCGGTTGGTGAGCACAGGAAAGCTGGAGCCGAAGAGGAAGCGGGCACGGGGCACGTAACCAGTGAAGCCTGGGGGGGATACTGAGTCAGGACATCCTGGGAGCCTCCCCATGCCTTTGGTCATTAGCCACTTCCTCTCACCTGGCATGAAGAACTTGCGAGGATCTCTGTCATCCATGGAATAGGGGGAAGCCTTGTGAGGAGAAGGTGGCAGAGAAAAAGTAAGGCTATCCCGTTCAGCCCCTGTGCTCCAACAGAAGCTCCCCGGGGGGTGGAGCCAGCGGTCAAGCCCACATCCCCGGCACCCATAGCCATGCTAGTCATGGCTGCCCCGCCTAGGCCCGGCCACACAGAGGTCAGGCTCCCCACTCCCAAGCCCCCCGGGCCCCCTCCAGCCTTCTTGGTCTCACTTGTTCTGCCTCTTGCCCCAGCTCTGGCTCCTTTGCCTCCAGCTCTGGCTCTGGCTTTGGCTTTTCGTCTTTCTCATCTTTTTTACCCTTGGCCTCCTTTGGCAGCTCTTGACCCCCTTGTCCCACAGACCACTGAGTGAAATCATTCAGAGCCTCAGCCCAGACCCGGCTGCAGTTCTTGGCAAAGATGAACTGTGCCTGGGGTACAAAACCTGGGTGGGAGGGGGCAAGAAAGATCTCAGTTAGTGTTTGGGGCACATGTTCTGGGTTGGGGACACCTGTTCAGACTGTCCGTACGTACCTGTGTACCCAGGAATCATGCTGGAGCTGAGCCTTTCATGCCTCTGCCTGACAGGCAGGCTTCCCCTGGGAACCTCAGGAGATGCCGGAGGCCTGATGGGAGGCAGAAGTGTGCGATGGGTGGGGGGCCAGGCTAGGCCAGGAAACCCTCGAAGCAGCTCACCGGTCATCTGCCCATAGGTCTGGCCCATGCTGAAGCGAAGTAGTGGGCAGTGTCCAGTGTACCTGTAAGCACAGGACTCACCCTCTCACCTCTAGACTCCCCCACCACCCGCAGAGATAGAAACAGAGACCTCTGAAGCCCTGAGTTTTTTTTCTGGATTCGGCTGCGTGTGTCTTTGGAGCAGGCATTTCTCAGTTCTCTCTGGGTTTTCAACCCTTCCCCTCTGCTATTACCCTGTTACCATGGAGAAGACAACACAAAGCTTTGTGACAGGCCCAGCTACCACTATCCCCTTGCTCTTCCTTTTCCATCCAACACCATGAATATCTCAGCCTTGGGCCTACCATACCAGTTTGTCTATTGGCCCCCAAGTCCTGCGTGGCACAACTCCCATGTCCTTATAGCCCTATTCCCAGAAGCAAGCAGGGGTGTGCCCTGGGTAGAAGTCTTACCCTGGGATATAATGAGGGTTCTGAGGGTTCAGCCCTGGTATGAAGGTGCTGGCCATAGTCATGGGAATCCAGGCAGTTCCTTTTGTTTCCCTTGGAGCCGAAGCTTTAGGCTTTGTACTGTGTCCAGGGTGGTGGGGCGGGGCCAGAGGCAGGAGGCAGGGCCAAGGGAGGAGAGAGGGGAGGAGGTACTAGGGAGGTAACTGCCAGGGCCAAGGCCAGGAGCTCACTGGTTGGTCTACTCCAGAACAAATGCAGTCCACCGTGTGGAGGTAGGGAAAAAGTCTGAGTGTGGCCTCCCTGTTCCAGGGAGCAAAGGAAGCCCTAAGGTGGGAGGTGAGAGAACAAAAACTGTGAGGTCCATTCAGCTCTGTCTTAAAGAGGACCACCCTTCCTTCTTAAACCCCCTGCCTGAAGACATGTGGGTGCTACTCTTTGTGAGTGTTGACTGAAAGTGATGGAATGCCTGGGAAAAGAGGGTCTCTAAGGGGATCCCAGAAGGGAGGTGACAGGGAGAAAAAGGAACCTAGAGACCTCTAAGCAGTGACATTAAGTTTCTTTTCAATCATTTTACTTTGACAAGAATTATTTATTGAATATCCACCATCATCTGGATTATCATTCAACAAATAATGCCATGCTCTGCTAGGCATATTCTGTAGTCAGAAAAGCTAAGCTCCATATGACTTCGGGCAAGTCATTGAGTATCTCTGAACCTTTTACAAAATGTAGATACCAGGACTCACCCTGCTACTGTTGTGAGGCTCGAATTAATATATACAAATGTGTTTTGTACCAGCAAAGACCATGAAGTCAGAAAGAGGGGGTGGAGGGGAAAGATCATGGGCCTGAGGTCACACTATCATGGGCTCCTACTAGCTTGTGGCCACGAGCCATCCTTAACCTTGTCTGAGCAGGTGACTTAACTTCTGCTGAACATGAATTCCCTAAACCCAAATGTGAAAGTTAAAATAACCTAATCTACCAGGGTGCTGTTAAGATAAAGTCAGTGTGGGAAAGAATTTACCCCAGCACCTGGCACTCAGCTACTAAAAATTTTCTTCCCTATTGTCTAATATTTTCTCTAAGCTTCTAACTCACATAGGAGACCTGCAACTGGTTAGTAAATTCAGTGGATATGGGTTTTTCTACTCTGGGAGTTCAAGGAAAGGAAATATGATGGTAATGTTGGGTTTTAAGACTAGGGGACAAATTAGAATTTGTTAAGAAATTCAGAGGGTGCCTGGCTGGCTCAATTGGTAGAGCATGCAACTCTTGATCTAAGGGTTGTGAGTTCAAGCCCCACACTGGCTGCAGAGCTTATTTATAAAAGAAAGAAAGGGAATAAAGTAAGAAAAAAAGAAAGAAAGATGAGAGAGAGAAAGAAAAAAGAGGAAGGAAGGGAGGGAGGAAGGAAGGAAGGGGAAAAAAAAGAAAAAAGAATTCAGATTCTAAGAGCAGAGAAGTATGGACCAGAAAGAAGAGCTCTCAGAGACGGGGGAGCATGACTGGAAACTCAGCTCTGGGGCTGGGTCAGGGTAAGGCCAGTCCACCTTTCCAGGAGGCAGAACCTCTGCTCTTCTCCCCACCCGAGTGTGACATGCCCAGGCTAACCAAGCACGCGTCCCTAACTTGTGGATTGCACAGGAGTGCTGGGCCCCAAGGAATACATTTCACGTTTCTCACTGTTCTGCCAAGGATGGCCTTGGCATGTAGCATTTAGAGCTAGGGTTGTAGACTTGGCTCACTGTTAAGGAAATATGCTAGATGGGGATGGGAACAGAGGGGAGAAGCCAGAAAAGCAGCAGTGTGGCAAGGTTAACAACCTAGACTTTTGGATTCTGTAACAAACACTATTGGTTGCACACTGAATACCCATTCCCCTACCCCCATCTCCCTTCTTCCTAACAGAACCTTAATTTTGTTCTGTGGAGCAGCCAAGAGCTTCAGGGAAGCTTGGAGCCAGCCCTGGGAATGAGTCTTGGTTAGTCTAAGCCCATTGTAGTGGTCCTATTCCCCCTTGTCAGTGATTAGTGAGGCACGGGCTTATGGCATTCTGGACAATAAAAGGGAAGTCAGCCAGGATAAGAGACGGTCCTAAGAAAAGTAAGCAACTTAAAATGCTCTTTAAAAAGATGCATGACAGGGGTGCCTGGGTGGCTCAGTCGGTTAAGGGTCTGCCTTTGGCTCAGATCATGATCCCAGGGTCCTGGGATCGAGCCCTGCATTGGGCTCCCTGCTCTGCGGGGAGCCTGCTTCTCCCTCTCCCACTCCCCCTGCTTGTGTTTCCTCTCTCGCTGTCTCTCTCTCTCTCTCTCTCTGTCAAATAAATAAAATCTTAAAAAAATAAAAAGATGCATGACAGAAAAAAAAGATGCATGACAGGGATGCCTGCGTGGCTCAGTCGGTTAAGCATCCAACTCTTGATTTCAGCTCAGGTCATGATCTCAGGGTCGAGATCAAGTCCTGCATCTGGCTAGAAGTGGAACCTGCTTAAGATTCTCTCTCCCTCTCCTGCCCCTCACCCCCCTCAAATAAATAAATCTTCTTTTAAAATGCATGACAAATGAGAGAGAGAGAGATGGACAAGAAGGAAAGATGTCCTTTCCTGTCTTTAGAAGTTCTATGGACATGATGACAGAACTCTGGTAGGCATCATGAAACCTTGTGGGAAGCTAGGCTAACCTGGGGACAGAGCCTGAATACAGCAAGGATGGATAGGAGAGTAGAAAGGCCTGGGTCCTTGATGAACTACTGAGCTAACCAACCTTTTTATATGAAATAATTTCATTATTGTTAAAGCCAATTTAAGTTTTCTTTTACTTGGAGCCCAAGGCATTGTAACATAAAAATAAAAACAAACAACAACAACAAAAACTAGTTCACCTCCTAGCTTCCCTGGAGATACAGACGTTGGCCAAATTCATCTCATTGAGCCTCAGTCTCTTAGCCATAAAATGAAGACACTAATGTTACTACTCCATTGAGTAGGACAAAGTAGTAGCACAAGATGATTCATAAAGAGCCACTCACCCCAGTGTCTAGCTGATGTTAAGTGCTAACTAAATAGCAATTCCTAGTGTTTGGTTGGAATTTGCTGGGAATGGGAGAAAGGAAAAGAGCTGAGGACAGTAAGAGGTTGGGGGTTCAGGTGAAAGCAGTGAAGCTGAGAGACTGAAAGGTCAGCATGTGAAGGTGGGGTGCAGATTAGAAGGGAGAGGCTCGTACAAATTCTGCAGGACCAACAATGGCAGTTGGAATCAGTGTGTGAATTACTACAAATTAGGAAAGAGGTTACAGTGAGTCTTACATTTGTGTTTGTGAAGGAACAGTCCACTCCTCTTGGTGAATAGCCTGTTACTACTGTTTCCATCTGTGTAAACAATATTTCTAAGTCCCTGAAGATCGGAAAGGTGTTCTAACCTGGGAAGGAAGTGAAAGAACTAGCTGAGGGGCCCACAGGACTGCTCACTGCCTCTGTGCCCCCAACTCCAGGGGACGGTCGTCTGGCAACCAAACCCCAGCGTGCTCCTGGTGGGAGCTGCACAGCCAGTGCTGGTGGACAGAAGGTTTCATTGGGATCACACCCACTCACAAAACGAGGGTCCAGTTAGGAAAGAGCCACGTCAGTGCCCTGCCCGTTCCACACAGCCTGTTCGGTCTCTGAAACAGCAGTCTATAACTTGTGTCGTTCCGCCTTTGATCCTGACCAGGAATTGCTGTAAAATTTCACATAAGTACAAATATCAAATCATTATGTTGTACACCTGAAATTAATGTTATATGTCAACTATACCTCAGTTTTTAAAAATCTTACCAAAAAAAGTTTCAGATGGATCCCAGATCAGTCATTTGATTGTAAGACAATACTGGGCAAGCATAAATCCCCTCAATGAAGATGAAGAAAAAGAAAATCACGGGGCCCTTGAAAAAAATTCCTCAGATCAAGAGACCACCACAAGTGAAACAAGGTGTGAAAAGAATAAACTCCAAACGATTACATACAACACAAAACCTTTTTAAATTAAAATAAACAGATAAAATGATTCAATAATTCCACTTCTGGGTATTTACCCGAAGAAAATGAAAATATTAATTCAAAAGATATTTGCACCCCATCTATGTTCATTGCAGCATTATTTACAATAGTCAAGATATGGAAGCAACCTAGTGTCCATCGATAGATGAATGGATAAAGAAGATGTGGTGTATATACATACACAATGGAATATTACACAGCCATAAACAAAGAATGAAATCTTGTCATTTGCAAAAACCTGGATGGACCTAGAGGTATTATGCTAAGTAAAGTAAGTCAGACCAAGAATGACAAATGCCACATAATTTCCCTTATATGTAGAATCTAAAAAACAAAACAAAACGAATGAACAAACAGAAACAGACTCATAAATATAGAGAACAAAGTGGTGGCTGCCAGAGGGGAGGGGTGAAATAGGCAAAAAGAAATATACAGAGAGGGAGAGCTGCAATAAAACTACATCAAAAGGAAAGCAAGGTAATGATGAGCATGAGTTTCAGATGCTTACTTTACAGGGAGTGAGACAAAATGGGAGGAGAGACCATACAGTTAGATGTACGTGATTGCCAAGGTCTCAGGTTTTGTTTGGGATAGTGGCTTCATAAATGATTATTATTATACATTAATAATTAACGCAGGACCAATGATGAGACTATATCATAAACCAAGGATTATGATAATCCAAGTCTGGGCATTTGACATCCAAGAGGTAGGGTGGGGATGGGAGGAATCCAAGTAGAAATGACCAGAAACAGTAGTATTCACTGGTAGATTTTAATATACTCTTCTGTTTTAAGTAACTCAAAAAGTCAAAATATTAAAAAGGAATACCAGCATCTGAATAAGGATGATTTATTAGCTATACACAGGAGACTTTTTTTTTTAAGATTTTATTTTTTTGCCAGAGAGAGAGAGCACAAGCAGGGGTAAAGGCAGGCTCTCTGCCAAGCAGGGGAGCCTAATGTGGGGCTCAATCCCAGGACCCTGGGATCATGACCTGAGCCGAAGGCAGATGCTTAACTGACTGAGCCACCCAGGCGTCCCTACACAGGAGACTTTTTTTTTTAATTTTGTAATTCTAAAATATATTCTTTGGTAAAATTGCCTTTTTTTAAATTTTTTTAAATTTTTATTATGTTATGTTAATCACCATACATTACATCATTGGTTTTGATGTATGTTCCATCAATAGTGCCTCCAAGACACTTATTGAGTGCCTGTTATGTGCTAGATGCTGTTCCAGGTACCTGGGACACATCAGAGAACGCAACAAAGGCCCCTGCCCTTGCAGAGCTTACAGTCTAGGCTTCCTACCCCTGCACGCTGTGCCCCCAAGCAAGCCACCGCCCCTCCCTGGGCCCGTCCTCGGCTCCACCCCAAACAGGACACCCAGCCCCAACGCCCCCCCTCTTCCCCAGAGCAGAAAGGGCTGGAAGTTGAGTTTTACTAGTAAAGTACAAGGGGGAAGGGCAGAGGGACTGGAGCCGGGCAGTCAGGTGTCCCACGGCCCCGGGGCCTGGGCTGGCTACACGAAGTGCTGCCGCTGTTGCTGCTGCTTGCTGGCCGCCTTGCTGGCCAGGTCCTTGGCCTTCTCTGTAGCTGCCAGTGCTGTCTCCTTGGCCTTCTCCTTGGCTTCCTTGGCTGTCTCAACGAGGGTTTTGGAAGGGGCCTCCCCTTACAGCTTGGCCAAGATGTACTCAAAGCCCTTCATTGTCTTGGTCACGTTGCTTTTGAACCGGGCAAGATCAAATTCCTGGACAGCTCTGGAGACATCAAATAAGCTAGAGGAGACCCAGGCTTCCTGGCAGATTTCGGTCCAGCCGCTGTTATCAGAGTTCACACAGTAAACACATCGTTCCTCCACCACCATCAGCCAGGTGTGGTTGATGTTCCAAGTGAAGGTGGTTTGTTCATTGTTTGCGTATAACACCCAGTGCTCCATGCAGAATGTGTCCTCCTTAATACCCATCACCGGCTAACCCATCCCCCCACGCCCCTCCCCTCTAGAACCCTCAGTTTGTTTTTCAGAGTCCATCGTCCCTCATGGTTCGTCTACCCCTCTGATTTCCCCCCTTCATTCTTCCCCTCCTGCTATCTTCTTCTTTTTTTTTTAACATATAATGTATTATTTGTTTCAGAGGTACAGGTCTGTGATTCATCAGTCTTACACAATTCACAGTGCTCACCACAGCACATACCCTTCCCAATGTCTATCACCCAGCCACCCCATCTCTCCCAGCCCCCACCACTCCAGCAACCCTCAGTTTGTTTCCTGAGATTAAGAATTTCTCATATCAGCTACACAGGAGACTTTTAAAAACGGGTCATATAGTGGACATTGCCACTATAAACATCGGGGTGCATGTATCCCTTCGGATCACTACATTTGTATCTTTGGGGTAAATACCCAGTAGTGCAATTGCTGGGCCGTATGGGAGCTCTATTTTCAACTTTTTGAGGAACCTCCATACTGTTTTCCAGAGTGGCTGCACCAGCTTGCATTCCCACCAACAGTGTAGGAGGGTTCCCCTTTCTCCACATCCCCACCAACATCTGTCATTTCCGAACTTGTTAATTTTAGCCATTCTGACTGGTGTGAGGTGATATCTCATTGAGGTTTTGATTTGGATTTCCCTGATGCCGAGGGATGTTGAGCACTTTTTCATGTGTCTGTTGGCCATTGGGAAAAAAAAAACGGGTCGTAGAGTCTAGTCCTGACTAGAGCATGGGACTAATAGTTCAGGCTTGGGCAAATCACTTCAAGTCTTTGAGCCACATCTGTAAAATGAAAGAGATGCACTGGATGGTTATTAAGATTGTTTCTAGTTCTGGGGCACCTGGTTGGCTCAGTCAGTGGAACATGCAATTCTTGATCTGAGGGTTATGAGTTTGAACCCCATGTTAAGTGTGGAGATTACTTAAAAATAAAATCTTAAAAAAAAGAAAAGACCCTTTCCAGTTCTAACTCCCTTATCTATTCGCCAGTGCAAATATTTAATGGGCTGTAAAAAAAAAAAACCAAAAGCACACATTTTCAAAAAATAAAAATAAAAGAAACTTTGACATGCTTTCAGAGTCATTTCTAAATGCAACCATCTTTGTAAAAGTTCCATACAGTTTCCATGATCTTTAAAATGTGCATTTTCCTTCTAGGATGCAGCTCCAATTGAATCTTATTCAACTATAAGTTTTCCTGAAAATAGGCCACTCTCTGGATATCACTGCTCTGAGCACAGACGATGGATCAAAGCAAAGGAAATGTCACAGTCTCCTTCTGGCCTTTTTTCATGTACAATATTCTTCAAATCCACAAGGACCAACATTAATTTATTCAGTCCACTAACTTTCATCGAACATCTCTGCCAGGCAGTTACCTTCTGGTCAATACAGAGATGAATAGATGAATTAGATGTACTCCTGACCTCAGTGATTTTACATCTTTAAAGAAGAGACAGAGGTACAGAGAAAGTCAAAACACAATAAATGCCACAATGGAGATTAAACAAAAACAAATTACCTTACGGGGCTCCTGGGTGGCTCAGTCAGTTAAGCATCTGACTTTTGATTTCAGCTCAGGTCTTGATCTCAGGGTGGTGAGTTCAAGCCCCACACTGGCCTCCATGCTGGGCATGGAGCCTACATTTAAAAAACAAACAAACAAACAAACAAACAAAACACCTTATAATAGGCCACAAAGAAAAAACTCAAAAATCCCAATAAGCACAAAATAATCAAGGCACATTTTCTCACACAAACACAATAAACCTGTAAATGAAAAATAAAAATTAGGTTAAACACTAAGACATTTTTTTAAATTTATTTTGTTTTAAGTAGGCTCCACACCCAGTGTGGGGCTTGAACTCACCACCCTGAGATCAAGGGTCACATGCTCCACCAACTGAGCCAGCCAGGTGCTCCTAAGACATGTTTTATGTTTTGTTTTGTTTTTTAAGATTTTTATTATTTATTTGACAGAGCACAAGCAGAGGGAGAGAGCGAGAGAGAAGCAGGCTCCCTGCTGAGCAAGGAGCCCGATGCGGGACTCGATCCCAGGACTCTGGGATCATGACCCGGGCCGAAGGCAGCCGCTTAACCAACTGAGCCACCCAGGCGTCCCCCTAAGATGTGTTTTAAATGCCTTCTTGGAGCACCTGGGTGGCTCAGTCAGTTAAGTATCTGCCTTCAGCTCAGGTCATGATCCTGGGATCTTGCGATCGAGCCCCGCATTGAGCTCCCTGCTTGAGGGGAGCCTACTTCTCCCTCTCCTCCCAGCTCAGTGCTCTCTCTCACTGTCTCTCTCTCTCTCTCAAATAAATAAAATCTTTTTAAAAATGTCTTCTTAAATAATTATTGGGGCAAAGAAAAAAGTATGATTACACACCATCATTCAGAGATAAATAACAAATGAGAATTCAATCAAAGCTGAATTCAGAGGCAGATTTTTTTAAAGATTTATTTATTCATTTGAGAGAGAGAGTGAGTGAGCGGGGGGAGGAGTGAAGAAAGAGGGAGAGAATCAAGCAAACTCCCTGCTGAGGGAGGAGTCGAATGCGGGGCTCAAGCCCCGGACCCTGAGATCATGACCCGAGCCGAAATCAAGAGTCGGACGCTTAACCAACTGAGCCACCCAGGTGCCCCTTCAGAGGCAATTTTTAGCCTCGAGTGCATACTGACATCATGACTAAGGACATAGGCTCAATTCTGGATCTCTCACTAGCTGTACAACCTTGGGTAAACTGGTAAACCTCTCTGGATCTCTTGTCCCCTCATCTATAAAATGAGAATAGTAATACTGTAAGCATAATACTGTAAACTTTAATGGTAATATAAAGCAGAGTGGTTGCTGGCACCTAATAAACTGTCAATAATATCACAACAAGCGTTCCAGTGGGAGCGGGGTTTGTGACAAGAAACAACTGTCCACTTTTCCCGGCCCAAGTACAGGAACAGGGTGAAGAGTGAGAAGAAGGAGAGATTATCTTAAAGATGAATCCGATTTCATGGGTACCCAAGGCACGAACTATATAGCCTGGCCTCATGGAACCTGGAATTGAGAAACCTGAAAGCTGATAAAAGTGAAGGCTGGTTTTTTTCACTCTTTTCTCCCTGGGCCACGTGCTTCTCTCTGTGAATCTGCTCACTTCTCTCTCTCTCTCTCCTCTCCTCATTCTCTCTCTCAATCTGCAAACTCTCTGTCCCTCCTCTTCCCAGATGGATTTCTATTCCCTCATAGCTTCAGTGTGCGTGTGGCTCATCGCAAAATGAGCTCCTCTTCCCCCACCATCTCTGTAACAGTGATTTCTTAAGCAGGGATGTGCTTCGGAATTACATAGAGTGGTTTTTTTAAAAATATTCATGTCTGGCCCCATCCAGGTTATTCTGGGAATTGGGTCCCTGGTGTATATATATATATATTTTTTTTTAACTTTTTAATTTGGAAAAAAAAATCAACCTACAGAAAAAGCACAATAAAAATATAACCTTTACCGAGATTTACCAATCGTTAACATTTTGCAGCTTGGAGGTATACGATTCCATGTGCCCAGGAAGAAAGGAGAAGCAGATATAGATGAACACTGATATCTATACCACCTCTGTCTCTCTGAAGCCTGGCCTCACAGCAGATGGGTAGGCTGCCCTGACCAACCAGCTGTGCCGAGGGAGGGAAGGACGTTGTGTGCTGCAGGCTGTGAGGATGAGGGAGGGAAGGACGTTGTGTGCTGCAGGCTGTGAGGATGAGGGAGGGAAGGACGTTGTGTGCTGCAGGCTATGAGGATGTCAGCAAAACAGGCTGCAGACAGCCTAGCCAGGTAAACAAGTCTAAAACCAACTAAGTTAACTAGCTAATAAATAAGCAGTCAACTCAAGAAGCTAGAAAAAGAGGAACATCATAAGCTAAGGAAAAGAGGAGGAAAAGAGGAAAAATTTAGGAAGCTAACAATAGACACCAATAAACCAGAAACCAGAAAAACAGTAGAAATAATGTTTCTAAGAGCTGTTTAAAAAAAAAAAAAAGACAACATAGTCAGCAAACTACTGGCACAGCTAGCCAAGAGAAAAAAGACCACAAACCCCCCTGAGTGGCATGAGGAAGTGGCCAAAAACACAGGCACAAAGGAATTTTTTTTATTATAAAAGAATACTAAGTGAAACTCCATGTAACTAAACCAAAAAGTTTCAGTGCAATTAATATTGTCCAGGAAAATATAAATCAAAATCAACCCAAAATGATACAGAACATCTGAATAAAATATAGCCACAGAAGAATCTGAAAAAGTGGTCAAATAGATGCCCCCTACCAAAAGACCCACATCACAATTCATCAAATTAGTATTAACTTAATTCAAAACCTAACAGCCTCACACAAGTTATACAGATGAAAAATTACAAATAAAACATCAAATAGCAGGATGCTTGCCTGCTCTCCTCCAGTCCAATGGAAGATACCACTAAATGACCACGGCCCTCTTTCTGGGACTTCTCAAGGCTCTGCAAGACAGCGTATCTTGAGTGATTTCTGCCAAAGGCTCAGCATAAGGGAGTACTGGCAAATGTTCTCTCTTTATTACCCCTGAACTGAGAGCCCAATACGGGCAGATACTTTATCTATCTTGTTCACAAGTGTATCTCTAGCATGCAGCACAGCTATCTGGCATATAATATGAACTAAACAAAATCCAGCAATATTGTAAAGGAATAATATACACTAAGATTAGTAGGTTTCTAGGACTACAGCAATGATTGAACTAGAAAATCCATCAATGTAGTTAACATGAATAAACCAAAGGAAATAGCCATTTCATCACTCTAACAGACCCTGGGGAAATCTTTTAGAAAATTAAATATCGGGGGTCAGTCATTAAGCATCTGCCTTTGGCTCAGGTCATGATCCCAGGGTCCTGGGATCGAGCCCCGCATCGGGCTCCCTGCTCTGCAGGAAGCCTGCTTCTCTCTCTCCC